TTTTTAGGCTGCTAGACCTGGGTTCATAACCCTGACTCTACCACTTATTATTTCTGGGCTCTGAGCCTTAGTTTCTCCACTCGTCAAGGAGGGAGGGTGAGAGTCCCATTTCACAGGAGTGCCTGAGATGCAATGAGATCATGAATTTTTAGGGCTGCTGTACTCATCTGTTTTCACCTTGCTGATAAAGACATACACGAGACTGGGTAATTTATAAAGAAAAAGAGGTTTAATGGATTCACAGTTCCACGTGGCTAGGGAGGCCTCACAATCATGGCAGAAGGCAAGAGGCAAGTCTTATGTGGGGGCAGGCAAGAGAATGAGAACCAAGCAAAAGGGATTTCCCCTTATAAAACCGTCAGATCTGGTGAGACTTATTGACTACCACAAGAGCAGTATGGGGGAAACCATGCCCGTGATTCAATTATCTCCCACCAGGTCCCTCCCACAACACGCAGGAATTTTGGGAGCTACAATTCAAGATGAGATTTGGGTGAAGGCACAGCCAAATCATATCAGCTGAGGTCAATCTAACTTAGGTACTAGCACTCTCAGCTTGAATGCATCGGCCTCCCCAGGCCAAACCTGTTTCTCATTCTCATTCCAGTGAGAAATCCTCATTCTCATTCCCAGTGAAGAGGTCCTGTTCTCTGGGGCAACCTAACTGCTCTCTCCTCTGCTGGAAATTGTGAAAACTATACTCTACCTGGCATTGTCTCTAGAACATGCCTTCCTTCCTCTGCTTTTCTACACATGGCTTTAACTGAGCGCCTATATATGTATGTGTGTGTGTACGCACGTATGTGTGTGTGTAATTTACAGCTTTATTGATATGTAATTCATATACTGATAGAGTTTGAATATTTGTCCCTTCCAAATCTCATACTGAAACGTGATCCCCAATGTTGGCGCTGTGGCCTAGCGGGAGGTGTTTGGGTCATGGGGGCAGATCCCTCGTGAATGGCTTGGTGTCCTCTCCACGGTAGTGAGTGTTCTAGCCTGGTTAGTTCACTCGATAGTGGGTTGTTTAAAAGGGCCTGGCATCCTTTTCTCCCTTTCTCGCCATGTGATGCACCTGCTCCCCCTTCATTGTCCGCCATGATTGTAAGCTTCCCAGGACCTCACTAGAAGCAGATGCTGGCACCACATTTCTTGTCTTGTACAGTTTGCAAAACTGTGAGTTAAATCAACATCTTCTTTTTAAAAAAAAAAATAAATTACCCAGTCTCAGGTATTCCTGTATAGCAACACAAAATGAGCTAATGCACATACCAATCCATTTACTCCTACCCAGCATCCCCACCCAACATGTTCTCACCACCTTCTTTTGAAATAGTAGTGGGTTATAATTCAAGGTGAATGGTACATTTTTAAAGGGTGACATAATGTTTGTTCTGGACACTGATTAAGTTATAACCTTGCCTCTATTTTTTCTTTTTAAAATTAACAAATACAAATTGTGTATTTTTATGGTGTACAATGTGATGTTTTAAGATATGTATACATTGTGGAATGACTAAATTGAGCTAATTAACATATGCATTACCTCATGTCCTTATTTTTTTTGTGGTGAGAACACATAAAATCTACTTTCTTAGCCAATTATTTACTCATTCAAAGTGTACAATTCAAGAGCTTTTAGCAAACTCACAGAATTGTGCAACCATCACCACAATCAATTGTAGAACATTTTCGTCACCCCCCAGGAAAACCCTGCGTCTCTTGGGCACCACACCCTAATCCTTTCACTCGTGATGGGATTTTTTTTTTTTTTTTTTTTTTAAATATGAGAGTAGGCTGGTGTGTTGGCTCACACTTGTAATCCTAGCACTTTGGGGGGCCAAGGCTGGAGGATTACTTGAGCCAGAAGTTCAAGACTAGCCTGGGCAACAGAGTGAGGCCCCGTCTCTACAAAAATAAAAACTTAGCTGGGCATGGTGGCACGCGCCTGTAGTCCCAGCTACTTAGGAGGCTGAGGTGGGAAGATTCCTCAAGTCCAGGACTTAGAGGTTTCAGTGAGCTATGATCCTGCCACTGCACTCCAGCCTGGGTGACAGAGCAAGACCTTTCTCCCTCTCTCTCTTTTTCTCTCTCCCTCTCTCTATATATAGTATTACTCATATATACTCATATATGTATATATCCATTTTTATACCATAAAACTTAGACACCTAGAGATAAACACTATGTTTTGGAACCTTTTTTTTTTTTTTTTTGAGACGGAGTTTCACTCTTGTTGCCCAGGCTGGAGTGCAATGGCATGATCTCGGCTTACCGCAACCTCTGCCTCCCAGGTTCAAGTGATTCTCCTGCCTCAGCCTCCCTAGTAGCTGGGATTATAGGCATGTGCCACCATGCCCGGCCAATTTTGTATTTTTAGTAAAGACAGGGTTTCTCCATGTTAGTCAGGCTGGTCTCAAACTCCCGACCTCAGGTGATCCTCCCGCCTTGGCCTCCCAAAGTGCTGGGATTACAGGCGTGAGCCACTGCACCCGGCCATGTTTTGGAAACTTACTATTTTTTTTTTTAAGCTTTATGTTTCTTATTGTTTCTTTCTTTCTTTCTTTCTTTCTTTCTGTCTGTCTGTCTGTCTGTCTTTCTTTCTGTCTTTCTGTCTTTTTTGAGATGGAGTCTTGCTGTGTTGCCAGGCTGGAATGCAGTGGCGCAATCTCAGCTCACTGCAACCTCCCCGTCCTGGGTTCAAGCGATTCCCTTGCCTCAGCCTCCCGAGTAGCTGGGACTACAGGCACGCGCCACTACGCCCAGCTAATTTTTTTGTATTTTAGTAGAGACAGGGTTTCACCATGTCGGCCAGGATGGTCTTGATCTCCTGACCTCGTGATCCACCTGCCTTGGCCTCCCAAAGTGCTGGGATTACAGGCGTGAGCCACCACACCCGGCTGTTTCTATTTCTTTTAAACAAAAAGTAGAATTACATTCAGCAATTCTTACAAGGCATCACAGAAAACAACCTTTGCTCCTCATTATAGAATAATTTGGAAAGTAAAGTAAAAAGCAGCAAAACAAATCCTTAAGCTTAATACTCAGATAACCACTTTGGGGAGTATATTTTCTTTGAGGATTTTTCATAATTTTTAAAATTAATTTTTAATCACACAAGAGCTTTTCCTTAGGAAAAAATGTAGACCCATCTAAAGCCAAATCTCCCTTGACCTCCACCCCTACGCTTGTCCTCGTCACACTCTCCAGGCACCTGCTGTTATCGAGAGAACATTTTGTGTTTACAGAGTTGAAGTTTGCGGCACAGTTGCTTTGTTTTTGTTTGAACAATGTTTTGTAAGCTCCCCCACCTCACTTTGCAAACATGTTGTAAACCACTTTCTAAATGCTGGTTGCTATTTTATCCAGTGGCACAGCCAATTCCCAAAGTACCCCACCCTCCCCGCCCCCACCCCAGGAAGAGCCAGCAACGCACAGCATGCCTTGTTTGCATCATAAAACTACAGCCGCCTAAGAGAAACTTTCCAGCCTCCTTTTCTTTCCTTCCTCCCCTCTGCCTACTGCCCTGAGAGACACCTAAGACAACGGCTCTGGTGAAATAGGGAAGAGGCCTACCGCGTTCCTTTCCACCTTCCAGACACAGGCCTGAGCTGGGGACACAGCAATGCTTTGAACTAGGTGGACTTTGGGGTTTTAAAATTACACGGAACTGAACTTTTTTTTTTTTTTTTTTAAGGTGGAGTTTCGCTCTTGTTGCCCGGGCTGGAGTGCAATGGCACGATCACAGCTCACCACAACTTCCGCCTCCCGGGTTCAAGCAATTCTCTTGCCTCAGCCTACCAAGTAGCTGGGATTACAGGCACGCGCCACCACGCCCGGCTAATTTTGTGATTTTAGTAGGGATGGGGTTTCTCCATGTTGGTCAGGCTGGTCTTCAACTCCCAGCCTCAGATGATCCGCCCACCTTGGCCTCGCAGAGTGCTGGGATTACAGGCCTGAGCCACCGCGCCCGGCTCAGAACTGAACTTTTAAGACCTGGATAAGGAAGCAATTCATTCACTATCTGAGAGGCAGATGTGTGTGGTCTCTGGAAAGTGTGGTCTGGGAAGCCAGCCCATCTGGCTTCAAATCTTCAGTTTGCCACTTCCAAGTGTGCGACCTGGAGAGGGCACATGACCTCTCTGAACCTCAGTTTCCCCTTCTGTGAAATAGGGATCATACATCCCTGATCTCAAAGAGTTATGATAAGACTTAAATGTTACTACAGAAAAGAACTTAGAACGGGCTGACAGGCTGGGTGCAGTGGCTCACGCCTGTAATCCCAGCACCTGGGGAGGCCGAGGCAGGAGGATCTCTTGAGCCCAGGAGTTCGAGACTAGCCTGGGCAACATAGTAAGACCTCATCTCTACTAAAAATAAAAAATTAGCTGGGTTTGGTGGCGTATACCTGTGGTCCCAGCTATGCAGGACGCTGAGGCAGGAGAATGGCTTCAGCCCAGCAGGTTGAAGCTGCAATGAGCCATTATCAGGCCCCTGCACTCTGGCCTGGACAACAGAGCAAGACCTTGTCTCAAAACAAAACAAAACAAAACAAAAAAACAAAAGCCCCAAACAGGCTGGTGTATAGACCTATTCAGTTACAGTGACCTTCTATTATGGCTGATGTTATTATTTTATGATTGCTATTATTTATATTTATTATTACTAGGTTGCAGATTGCTGGGGTGAGACAGGGCATTCTGGTGGAAGGGGGCTGGGCTGGGGTCTCAAATTCTGATCCTGCCCCTTGCCAGCCCTGCCATCTTGGGTAGGTGACCTGGTCCCCTCTTTGCACCTCACTTCCCTTCTTCCTAAAAGAAGCCAATAGGGTCATCTCTTGTGGCAGAGTGGCATTCAAGAATTCCCATGAGTTGGGTGCCTGAGCTGCATGGGCCTCAAACGGACAGGGTCGAAGCTCTGAGTGGGGGCGACTTGGACTTGTAAGGAGACTCTCTCCTCCTTGTCCCTGGCCCATGGTGAAGCCACTGTCTCCAACGCACCTGTTAAAAGCAGCTTCCTCCAGGCAGGGGTGTGGCCGGAGCTGATGTCCAGAGGACTCCTCATCTTGTATTCTGTCCAGGGACTGTGCAGAGAAGGTCTCCTCGTCACATGTGGGGTCTTTATAGACCTATACAGTCATGTCTGCAGCCCTGGCCCCGCCCTGCAGGACCCCGCCCACGATGACCATGCCCTACCCTGGCCACTTCCCCACATGACTTACCAAGTTGGCTCGGAAGTCACCTCCAGCAGCATCCTTCTCCAGTATCGGGTCAGTGGTGATGGTGAGTGGGGACCAGGCTGGGACAGTGTCCCTGGGGAGGGGGCTCTGAGGCTTTGCTCTCATTCTCTCACCCTACAATCCCCACGGGGAGATGGAGGGAGAAGCAGAATCACCCGCTCCTATCACTCACGTCAAAGTTAAGGAATGGCCAAAGGTCAACCTGGTAGGAGGTGACGGGGCTTTCTGCTGGCCTCCTGGCTTCTCCCCTGGACTCTGAACCACACCTTTTCTCCTCTGTAAAATGGAGGCGTTAATAATAGTGCCTGCCCCAGAGTCAGACGGGGCCATGGACACGAGGCGCTTGGAGTAGTGCCTTGCCATGTAGTAGGTGTTCAACGAATGGCAGTCACTATGAAGTTAATGCTAATTATAATTTGGTGTCTAGGATGTCCTGGAGGCATGTTTAGAATCCCATTATCAGGACCTCGCTCAGACTATATCCTGAATTTTAGATTCTAGAAGGATAAGCTACACTAGCTCCTTTTTCCTCACCCTTCTCACTCCCTGGGTCTATTCTTTCCTCCTCGAATAATAATTATCATGCTCAAACTAATAGCTGGTGTTTGTTGAACACCTACTTACTACATGCTGGACACAGCATTAACCCTGTAACACGGTTGCCTAATTGAATCCTCATACCAACCTCGAGGGGTCGATATGGGCATCTCCATTTTCCCATGATGCACAGGGGCTGTGTAACTCACCTACTGTCACACAGTCGTTCACAGGGGCTTTCTGCCAGTTTTTGGAGGCACCAACACAGGGCCTTTGCATGAGCCATTCCCTCTCCTTAGAACCTTACTCATGTAATCTCAAAGCTGACTGTATCTTATTATTTTGGCTTAATTCACGCATATCACCCTTTCAAAAAGGCCTTTTTTTTTTGTTTGTTTTGTTTTGTTTTTTGAGACAGAGTCTCGCTCTGTCCCCCAGGCTGGAGTGCAGTGGCACGATCTCAGCTCACTGCCAGCTCCGCCTCCTGGGTTCATACCATTCTCCTGCCTCAGCCTCCCAAGTAGCTGGGACAACAGGTGCCCGCCACCACGCTCGGCTAATTTTTTGTATTTTTAGTAGAGATGGGGTTTCACTATGTTAGCCAGGATGGTCTCGATCTCCTGACTTCGTGATCCGACCACCTCGGTCTCCCAAAGTGTTGGGATTACAGGCGTGAGCCACCGTGCCTGGCAAAAAAGGCCTTTCTTAATGCCTGCTGCAACTCAGTTCCCCAGCTCTTTGCTAGCAAGCCACACTGTTTTGTTTTCTTTACATCATTGACTGCTATCTTAGATGATTTATTTCTTTGTCCACTTGTGTTATCTGTCTCTCCTTCCTTAGTCCCACCTCTCCAACTTGAATGTCAGATCCAGGAGGGCAGGGATGTTGTCTGGCTTGTGGCTGTGTCCCTAGTGACTAGAACAGTGCCTTGCACATAACAGGTCCTCAATACATGTTTTTGTTTTTGAGATGGGGTCTCACTCTATCAGCCAGGCTGGAGTGCACTGGCACGGTCACAGGTCACTGCAGCTTTAACCTTCTGGATTCAAGCAATAATCCTGCCTCAGTCTCCTGAGTAGCTGGGACTACAGGTTCACGCTACCATTCCCAGCCAATTAAAAAAATTTTTTTTTTTGGTAGAGATAGAGTCTCACTATATTACCCAGGCTGGTCTCGAACTTCTGGGCTCAAGTGATCCTCCCGTCTCAGCCTCCCAGAGTGCTGGGATTACAGGCATGAACCACCTACCCAGCTTACATGTTTTCTTTTTAGTGAATAAATAAAGAGCAAGTGCGTGAAATGGGAGTGTTCAGACTTGAACTCAGATCTGTCTGACGCAGAAGCTCATGCTTTTCCCTCCCAGAGAGGTTCAGGTTCCACCCAGGGGCTAAGGTTCACCCATGAGTCTCTAATAATAGTTGTCATCAGGTGACACAGTTATTCCTTTATTAGCATTTGCTAAAGTGCTTCTTTTATGGTTGGTCTGAAGTCCTCTGATGGAGTGATTAGCTAGGTCAGGAGACCACTGTAGACAAAAAGTAAATATTTGCAATGCAATTAATAACCATCTGGGGTTTCTGCCGAGCCAGCGCTCTCTTTTATCCAAGTAACAGCACCTGGAGTTCTCTTTTGGAAACCAACCTCCTCATGGCTCCAGGGAGGTGAGGGGCCCAGGACTGACCAATCAGAGCACTTCATCCCCTGACAACAGTGATTTCTGGAGAGCTGGGCATGGCGCCCAAAACAAGCCAAGGAGAAGCAGTCTCTTAGGGATTTTTCTGGAACTCTGGGGAATAAAGCAATTTTTTTTTCTATTTCTAAAATTTTATTTATTTATTTAGAGACAGAGCCTTGCTCTGTTGCTCAAGTTGGAGTGCAGTGGCATGATCTCTGCTCACTGCAACCTCCAGCTCTCAGGTTTAAGAGATTCTCATGCCTCAGCCTCCAGATTAGCTGGGATTACAGGCATGTGCCACCATGCCTGGGTAATTTTTTTTGTATTTTTAGTAGAGACAGTCTTTCACTATGTTGCCCAGGCTGGTCTTGAACTCCTGGCCTCCAAAGACCCACTTGCCTTGGCCTCTCAAAGTGGTGGGATTATAGGCGTGAGACACCGCACCCAGCCTAAAAGCATTTTTTTCTTGCTTCCGGGTTTGCTGAGCTGAAGAGATCTCAGTGTGTAGCTGCTGGGGGCCATCTTTCTATCATGAGTAGAGAGGTTGCCTAAAAACGAGGCTAACACATATGAAAGCATAGTCAGTGCACGGAAAGAGAGATTTCTAATGGCATCATTTAAACACCTAGATTCAGCTGTGCCTGATATCCATGCTGATCCTTCAGCTTATGTGCTATGCTGGTCTGTGTATTCTCATTGTTTCCCCTGAAGTCAGTTTGTTTTGGGATTACTTTAAATCCCAAAAGAACTTTGATTGAAGCCAGGCGCGGTGACTCACACCTGTAATCCCAGCACTTTGGGAGGCTGAGGCAGGCAGATCACCTGAGGTCGAGAGTTCGAGACCAGACTGACCAACATGGAAAAACCCCGTCTCTACTAAAAATACAAAATTAACTGGGCATGGTGGCGCATGCCTGTAATTCCAGCTACCCGGGAGGCTGAGGCAGGAGAATCGCTTGAACCCGGGAGGCGGAAGTTGCAGTGAGCCAAGATCGGGCCATTGCACTCCAGCCTGGGCAATAAGAGTGAAACTCGGTCTCAAAACAAACAAAGAAAAAACAAAAAACAAAAAAGAAAACACAAAACAAAAAAAAGCACTTTGATTGAAAGGAAAAATGGAAAACAGAGCTTTGAAAGGATCTGACTCTCTACTCTAGCTGAGATTCAGGCTGAATAAGGGAAGACTCTGGGGAAGAGATGGTGAAGCTGACCGCTGTGGGAGGAGGAGAACTTAGCAGGTCACTGTTTCTGAGAACTGCAGAACTCCATGCAAACCTCTGCATTAAGAGATGACCAAGGCCAGTTGTAGTGGCTCATGCCTGAAATCCCAGCCCTTAGGGAGGCCGAGGTGGGAGGACTGCTTGAGGCCAGGTGTTTGAGACCAGCCTGGGAAACATAACGAGACCCCATTTCTAAAAAAAAATAAAAAAATTAGCTGGGCATGGTGGCATGCATGCGCCTGTAGTCTTAGCTATTTGGGAGGCTGAGGTGGGAGGATTCCCTGTGCTCAGGAGTGTGAGACCGCAGTGAGTTATTATTGAGCCACTGTGCTCCAGCCTGGGCAATGGAAGGAGACTCTGTCAAAAAAAAAAAAAAAAGGAAAGAAAGAGAGATGATCAAACTTTAGCAGGGCGTCTAGCAGAATAAGGTCATGTTCTTAGGATGACTCCAGCCCCCCATTAAAATGCCACCTGAGAAAGCTCTACCTTGCCAGGAGAATTTACTGTCTGACCGAGCCAACATCTGGCAATATACCCCTAATTTCCCTTTTCAGAACATTTACTAAAAAGGGCCTACAATTGTGAATCCTTCCTCTTTCAGAAGTGTGTGTATATGTGTCTATACCCTACAACTTAGGGGTGTTTCTAGAGGATCTGAAAGCCATTCCTTTGAAATAGAATCATCAGAAGGAGAGGACCTCCGTTTCCCGGTCTCTGTGGGAGGATAGAATTCTAACTATGACAATTGCCAACTAGCAGACACAGCTGGCCTAATCCTACTGACACTGTACAATTTTTTTTTTTTTTAAGATGGAGTCTCGCTCTGTTGCCCAGGCTGGAGTACAGTGACATGATCTCGATTTACTGCAACCTCTGCCTCCCAGGTTCAAGAGATTCTCCTGCCTCAGCCTCCTGAGTAGCTGGGATTACAGGTGCACACCACCATGCCCAGCTAGTTTTGGGGTTTTTAGTAGAGACGGGGCTTCACCATGTTGGTAAGTCTGGTCTCGAACACCTAACCTCAGGTGATTTGCCTGCCTTGGCCTCTGAAAGTGCTAGGATTGCAGGCATGAGCCAGCCAACTTTTTATGATTTTTCCTTGCAGTGCGCTTCTCTCCCCATCCCTCATTCTGCCTTCTAGACACCCAGCCACCTCTGCAGGAATCTGAATGGAGCTCAGCTCTTTCCCCTACTGCCAGTGGTTATTGAATAAGATCTTTTTCATAGCTTTAACTGATGTCCCACTTCGTTTATTGCAAACATTTCTCAAACCTCAGTGTTTCTCATACCACATTGGTAATTCTTTCCATATGCACACATCACCTACACTTTTTTTTTCCTCTTTTGTTTTTGAGACAGTGTCTCGTTCTGTAGCCCAGGCTGGAGTGCGGTGGTGTGACCACAGCTCACTGCAGCCTTGACCTCTCAGCTCAAGCGATCTTCCTGCCTCGTCCTCCTAAGTAGCTGGGACTACAGGCACATACCACCACGGCTGGCTAATTAAAAATATTTTTTCCTATGTTGCCCAGGCTGGTCTCAAACTCCTGGGCGCAAGTGATCCTCCTGCTTTGGCTTCCCAAAGTGCCGGGATTATAGGCCTAAGCCTCTATACCTGGCTACACTTTTTTTTTTTCTTTTGAGACAGAGTCTCACTCTGTCACCCAGGCTGGATTGCAGTGGCGTAATCTCAGCTCATTGCAACCTCTGCCTCCTGGGTTCCAGTGATTCTCCTGCCTCAGCCTCCCAAGTAGCTGGGATGACAGGCACCCACCACCATAATTTTTGTATTTTTAATAGAGACAGGGTTTCAGCATGTTGGCCAGGCTGGTCTTGAACTCATGATCTCAAGTGATCCACCTGCCTCGGCCTCCCGAAGTGCTGGGATTACAGGCGTGAGCTACTGTGCCTGGCCTCCGGCTACACTTTTCTTTACTCAATATTTTTCTTTAAAATGACTCATCTAAAACAAGTTCACTCATTTTTTTTAAACAATAACATCCACAAAATTATCTATGAATATGCTAATTACATTTAAATATAGATGACAGTAACAAAATGAAAATAAAACATATCTGTCCACATATGGAATGTGGAATTTTTTGGTGTGTCACCAAAAGAACAGGAGCCCCGTATGGAGGAAATAGTCATGACAATTGCTAGTATTTATGAAGAATTTGGCTCTGAGCCTGGTCCTACTCTTTGCATATATTAGCTTTACATATATTCGTTTATGTAACTTCACACTTTACATCATTTAGCTCTTTTATCCTATCAACAACACTATGAGGCAGGTGCTGCCGTTCTCCTATTGCAGAAGAGGAAACAGAGGCACAGAGAGGTTAAGTGATTTATCCAGGCCACAAAGCTGCCGAATCGCTGGGCAGACCCAGGTATCAGGCTCTGGAGCCTGTGGTCTTAAGTGCAACAACCTTTTTTTTTTTGAGACGGCGTCTTGCTCAGTCGCCCAGGCTGGAGT